AAATAAATCACCACAAGTCAGATGATGGAATTACCTGACATTGCCGATTCCTTCATAAAAGGATTATTTGTCTCATGGGATCGGCTGAACCGAGGGAGGGAGGGGAGGGGGGCGTGCTACCGATGAGTCCCACTAGGACGAACTAGGCGCCTTTTTAGCACTAGATCTAACGGCTCAAAATGTGTTATATCTTTATCAGATTATATCGTTTTGAACGGGTCTATAAAAAAGCGGTCGAAAAAAGGGGTATGTGTGTTTTTCAACGTATTCTTTTTTCTTGCGCCCGAGAAAGATGGTGACCACTAGGTTCAATAGGACGATCGCTCCATCGCTCAGTTCTCGAAAAGGGAAGAGGAGAAAAAAAAAGAACTACAAGCCAACCAGTTAAAAGAATTGAGCAGTCAATAAAGAGGACTGTTTTGTATGCACGCGTGTACATAGTGTTTATGTCGTCCAAAAGGTTCTCTAATCGCAGTTATTGGTTGACATTCAAAAATAATTGTTCTTACGAGGAAAACCCTATGAATTCCCAACGTTTCATCGACCAAAACAGAAAGCATTTTTACGCATTTAGACCTAATTGTGGTAAAATATAGTACCCATTGGGATGAATAAAATCCGACCTAGTGCAAAAGGTAATTCCTTAAGATAGCCAAATAGCTGCCAAGAAAACTCACCGATTCTTACTGATCGACTGAAAAATTGGCACAAAATCCTCGAATGAAAGACGGGCCTCTTTCTCGTAAGCAGCACAGCATCGTCCAATTTCCGCTTCAGTTGGATTTTGTCCAAGAGCACGAAGAACGTCACCAACATGAAAAGAGAAAACAGGTGCAACATTCGTTTTATTTCAGTTCATTACTTTATTTGACCCTTATCAAATTTTCTTTTTTTTTCCACTGGGCGGGTCCCATACTTCTAAGGATCAATTCCTCTCCTTGATTCCTTGAGGACTTCATCTTCCTTGGAAACAACATGAAATACTAGTCGAGCACGTCTTCTAGCAATCTCGAGGATAGCCAGGCCGGGACGTTCTGTAGGGCGTTCTCCACTAATTGCCGGAGAGCGTTGGGGAACCACCCCGCGTCGAGCCCCGCCGAACATCACTAGCCAATCGAACAGCTCCCCTTCCTACTTACATTCTAACAGTAAAAATGTCGTACCAAAACAAATACACAAAAAGGGTTCCTTTTGATTAGGTGAGGATAAATAAAAAAAATAATATCTCATTCGCTGGAGAGGAACTTTTCATATGAATATTGGTAAACAATCCAATTGTGGATGATATTGTCTCTTTCTCGAAAAGCACTACTAAAGCAGAGACGATGCTCAAGGAACTTAACGAAGCGGGGAGGAAGGTTGGACTACGCATAATTCGCATGAGGACTCTATTCATAAAAAACCTATGGTGCAACGTTTAAAGTATCAGGCTGGATGGATGTTTCAATACGGGGACCTCCTCGTACGTGTACCTTGGTCGTTTACAGAATATGGAGAGCAATATGAAGCACGAACTTGACAGAGGAAGGAGAGCAGTGTGGGCCGCATTCGGGCCTCTCAAAAAACCCCGACCAGATAACGGGCCCCAAATTACGCGCGAACCATTTCGATTCAACAGTCCCACCAGCACTCTGTTATGCAGCGGAGACGTGAGCTGATACTTCGACCACGTCAACGCTACTGCGAACTTTCACAGAGCGCTTGAACGTATTCTGAAAATCAGTCGGCACTCACAACACCTAGCCGCCTTGCATAGCTCAGATCTCAGGAGTCCATCTCATCTTCATGATCCAGAAGATTTCACATTGATAGCGAAGCACCGGGCCGGTCATATAGTAAGCAGATCAGACGACAGATGGACGAAACGAACTGTAGAGTGGATACCACGAGCATTTAGTCGGACTCGATGACGGCTACTACACGCTGTGCGGATATGTTTGTGAGAACTAATCAGCTGTATTCGAACCTGCCGATATTCTACCGATCACGGTGTGAAACTCGCGCCAGTGGCCATGGCTCGAATGAAACCACTGCCATAAACGACAATCGCGAGAAGATGAAACCAATGGAAGATGTGCTGGGGTCTGCGCAGTTCATGAAGATGGACCGTTCAAGTATTCAATTATGTAAGTAAACAAGTAACCATTCTAAAACTTATACTTAAGGCTACAACCCGTCGCCGGTATTCGAAAAAGACTTTTTATGACGTTACTAAAGGAGATTTCTTGGCTCCAGTACCGCCTATTTCACGCCGGACAGAGTTCTCTCCCTGGACTATTAATAATCATACAATAGCGCAAACTCCTCTGATTCCAACGCTACGCTTATATCTTGAAAAGAGCGTTTCTCTGAAACGCAGCAGGTAAAATAAGTTGAATCACCATCTGCAATCACGGGACTCTTTGGGAAATTCACGCGCCCACGTTCGATGAGATGATCATAGATTTTTTGGGCATATGAACGCTCAGAGAAGTATCATTTGAGCAGTCCACGTGGCCACTACAGCCAGCCGCACGTGAATTTGCCAAAGACCCCCTAAGTCGCACATGCGAATTCAACTTTTTATACCTGTTGCGTTGCAGAGAAACTATCTTTTCACGGTATAAGCACACCATTGACATCAGGAACCACTACGCTATCTTGTGATTACTAAAAACCTGTATCACCTGACATCCCGTTGATCGTTGAGTGACTCGAGCGGGCACCAGCAACACTGTCATTTCTTCCTATCGCGTGCAAAAGTAGCCCAATGGGTCCGCGCTAAAGGGATTCGTTGCGCATTATATCTTTCTTCTATGCTATTCGTAAGGAAATCGGGCCATCAGGTCGCTGGTCTTCTATATGATTATTAGTAGTCCAAAGGAAGAGCTCTGTCTAGCGAGAACTATGCGAGTCTGAGACACAGTTTTGCGTCGAGATCACAGCGTCATAGGAGTTTCGAAAAACCGTCGGCGTGAGATTGTAGCCTCAAATCTCTGCTTCCGAATAACCACATAAACTCCTATGAAAAGTTCCTCTCTAACGAGTGAGGTCCATTTTTCATTTGTCCCTCCGAATCAGAAAAAAACCAAAAAGAGATAATGTGATGGAAATTCGCTCACGAACTTGTTGTACGCTGATCTTCTCGTCTCCTCTGCTGTCAAAATAACAAAACACCTCGCGACAATCAGCTAATTGATCATCCATTGCACTTACCATTAACTCTAAAACTACTATTTAATACAAAAAGTACACTTTCAAAAGAAAACAGCTCAAAGTACAACTATAAGAAGTGTAGAAGTAAGGTTAAACGTCATCAATTCCACGAAAACAGCAAGATGACAGGCAAAAATATTTATGAATAACAAGGACACTTCAAGAAAATCAAAAACCGAAAGAAAAAAATAAGTAAATCGATGGATAACTGTCAAATAACAGACGAATAAATATAGTACAAACCAAGATTTCCTATGTTTTTAGTGCTTTTCGGCAGTGTTATAATGTTTGAAATCGACCTAAGAGAACTGAGTGATGAGCGAAAATTCTGACCTCGGGCGGGACTTGAAACAGCGTTCTACTCATATCGAGGGCGCCTGCTACCACTACACTGTCGAGGCACCGTTTCACTACCTACATTCCTCTATGTCTCGCTACGGTACGGCTGAAACGCGGGTTCAACTCCCAGCTGAGGTCTTCATTTTGCCCACCACTCGATAATTCTTTAAGAGTATAACTGTTGGGTGATGTGCAAAACTCTAACGCCTCGGGCAGGAGTCGAACCCGCACCTCACACTTGCCGATCGGACAGCGAAAATTATATTGTATCCTTATAAAACCAATAACACTGCTACCAAAGCGATATAATAAAGAATCCTTGTCAATAAACTATATAAGCGTGACATATACAAATGTATATACTGAATATAATTCAAAAAACATACAAATTAACAAGTAAAAAGGAAATTCGACGGAAGAAACCGATGACAAGTGGGAGACAACGGATAACAAATCTTCCACTGAAAGAGTAAAAACAACTACAAAAAAATCATAGAAGAAAAAAGAAAAAAGGACATACAAAAGAGCGAATCACTCCGAAAATCCCATAGATAAGAGCGGTTCACGTAGATAAGACCGGTTCAAATAGATAAGAGCGGTTCAATTTCTGCAAAAAAAGAAAAATGGCACAAATCCGCTCTCCTTTCGGTGATGAAAAATTCACTTGTAAGTGGATTTATGGGCAATTTTTACCCTTTTTTCAAAACTAAGAGTAAATAAAAATTACTAAAATCACTATTAAGTACAGATTTTCCGCGCACACCGCTCTTACCGATGGATTTTAAGGGTAATGTAGATATTTTGGAGAAAATTTAGTAATCCACAGAACCATTCCAATAGAATAAAGTGAGAAAACTCGATCAGAAGAGCCCGAACGAATACCAGAACATGCGAGCGGTCGGTGTGGGTCGTTATCGGCATCAAATCATCTACATTCTCACGGCCGGTCGACCATCGGACATTCAGAGCAGAGCAACTCGACAGCGCCCTTATTGGTCACACTCCCTCTCTCTGGTGAATAACCTTTGTCCCAAAGAGAATCAGTGAAAAAAAACAGGAAATGCAGATCACGAAGGTGAAGAGGAATGAATGAAAAATTGCAAATGGAAGGGAAAACAAAAGATAAGACACACCCGAAACCGTCAACAGCACCCTTAACAATGCACAATATAGAATCCCGAAAATTCCTTATGTTTCATTGCCTTTTCGCAGTTTTATAATGTTTCATATATACCTAAGAGAACAGGGTGGTAAGCAAAAATTCGACCTCAGACGGGAGTTGGACCCGCGTTTCATCCATACCGAGGACGCTTGCTACCACTAAACCCCCCCCAAGCCAGCGCTTATAGCTGTCAGCTTAACCGGATTTGTAGAGCGATATTGCGTACCCGAACAAACCTGTCAATGGTTGGCGGCTGATAGCTAAGATAGAGAGATATTGAAGAACGAGTGGTGAATAAGCGGCGGCCTTTGTGGTGTAGTGGTAACACGCATCCCCGGTATGAATGAAACGCTGGTTCAACTCCTGTCTGGGGTCGAAATTTCTCCTTACCACTCAATTCTATCAAACACAATGTAGAGAACTGTAAGAGTTGCGCAACTACTAGTACTGGATAGTCTTTCACCACCGGATCCGAAGACTGCTGCTTGTCAAAACACGTCGTTAATTCCACCAACAAGAAATGAAATCACCAAACCACCATCTCGTCGAAGAATAAATTCAGCAAAACGATCCGATACGACATCTGGAATGGTAATAGACTAGAATGTTACTCTGATAATTATTTTTTGAGCCACGAATGTCAGTGGTCTATCAAGGAGAGCCGACTTATAGAGCCCGATACACGTGTTTCGATCTTCCGATCTCGTCAGTCGGGCAGTTACCCTTTCTCGTCTTTTGCCAATCCTGTGTGGGTGCTCCAGTCTCCACACTAAGAGCTAGCGACGACGAACGTTTTACACTCCATGTCCAGTGAAATTATTATGATGGAGCACCCACACAGGATTGGCAAAAGACGAGAAAGGGTAACTGCCCGACTGACGGGATCGCAAGATCGAAACACGTGTATTGGGCTCTATAAGTCAGCCCTCATTGACAGACCACTGACATGCGTGGCCCAAATAATGATTATCAGGCATATTGAAATTTCAACTGTGGTGTTAAGAAAACACTCGAAACGGAAGATAAGATGTTATTACTTCCCCATTTTCTCTTGTTATCCAGAAAATCCAGAAAAACTGGAGGCACAACCCGCTAATTCAAGCGCATACGGAGTGGCACCGTATGTTTACAAAAGTCAGTCTTTGGTACCTGTCCATTAGGAGGCGACAAATAAAAAACTGATCTCATTCGCTGTACAAAAAATCTTCATAGGAATGTCAGCAGTCTTTTGAAAGCTTGAATCTCTGACAAGCGCCCTATATGGCCGTCGAGAAAAAATCTTTTTATAGCACTGTAGCATCCAGAATGAAATTATGTTCCACACCCGCTACGCGCTTCATTTTATCACACATATAAGTCCTGGAACCATGAAAAGCATCATATCAACGTGCAGATGAAGTTTCATAGTATCTGAACCAGTCCTTCTATCTGGAGTTTCTTTCAGAGCGGAGAAAAAATTCCCAATCAATTATCAAGCTGCATCCCACATCTCCAACGATCAAGGCATCGATCAGATGGCTCGCCCCTCCGACCCCATGGATTAGCCGATAAAGAAGCTCGCTGAAAAGTAAAAGTCGATGTTATTTTCCGTGCTAACGATACGTATGGAAAGTAAGGACAGCGCTAGGATCATTGAAACTTACGCAGTTGAATGATTACTAGTAGTCTGAGGAGAGAGCTCTGTCCGGCGTGGTGTATAACATAGATGTTTTTTCTACTCCAGCGCTTTCTAGAGTGCTTTTCCAAAAAGCAAACACATTTTTGAGACCTTCAAAACTTGTGCTTTCGAATGAATACTAATACTCAAGGGAGGAAGTTTCTAGCGAAGTACGAGAGAGATAAGAAAAACAAAACAAGTGGTCGTGTAAAACAATTCTATTTTGGCTTCTAAAGCGTTATAAAAGCTTTCCTCGAAATCCGCTCGAGTGGGGTCTGGCCAGAAATTTGAGCTTTCGAATGACTGCTAATACTAATATGAAAATTCCTGTTCAGCAAATGAAATCGGTTTTCATCTCCCGCCTCATAATGGGCAAGTACCCAATTTTTTATGGTCTCATCATTGCTCACGACGACGAGTCTCGAGGCCCTCATGTAAGCCTTTGAAATGGAAAGCCGCGAAAACCAGCATGAATAATAAGAAATTATAGAACAATGACTTTCAATCGACTTTTCTAAGACCTCGCTTAGAAATCCAATGTAGTCTGATCGAATGTTTTAGGCCTTTCATGAGGTACACGGTACGTCTAGTACTAGACATACGTGCCAGCATTCTTACAAGCCTCAGCAGTAGTACATGCCATTCGGCCCAGCTTTACTATTATAGGGAATCGACGCCAAAAAAGTATCACTCCAGGCTAGGCTAAGTGAAATGATCTTCTGATGTTACGTTCTTTCACAGTGACTGGATTCAGAAGTCAGAGTCAACTTTTTCGGCGTTGGATCCCTATTATAGCATGGGTGACCAAGATGGCATGTGCTACTGATGAAGCTTGCGAGAAAGCCGAAACATACTCTACCACAAGAGACGCCATATCAGCCCTAATAAAGAGGCTTGAAACATTCTATCAACTACAATAAAAAAACCCCTGCTACTTATATGTTAGATGGCGACAAATTTTTCTACCGACCTCATTCGTTGGACAGGAAGCTTACACAAGAGTGTTAGTATTCTTCGAAAGCTTGTATCTTCTAACTACAGCCTTACGTGGTCGGTTTTCTAAAACACCCTTTTATAGCCCTTTAAAATGCAAAATAAAATTATGTTTCACACGACCACGTGTTTTCTTTCTTATTCCGCTTATAATTTGTTAGACAAAATTCTTCCCTTGGAGTAGGAGTACTCATTTGATAGCACAAATTTCGAAGAACTCAAAAATTTGTTTGCTTTTCAGAGAAGCTCTTCTAATAGTGCTGTAGGAAGAAGAAAATATTTGACCCCGCACAGAGCTCCTTCTTAAGACTATTACTAATCATTCGACGTCGGAAGTTCCAATGATTCTAACGTTGTGCTTCTTTTCTGGAAATACCGTTTAGCAGGGAAGATCGAACGAGTTTCACATTTTCGACGACTTGTTTATCAGCCAATTCACGGAGCGGGGCAGGGGCGGGCCAATCTCGTTTAAAATATTGTTATTCTATTAGGGATTTTTTCACCACATTGACAGAAACCTCAGATCGAAATCAGATCCTGATGATACGTGGAATCTCTACACGCTAATATGCTTTTCGTGCTTCCAGCGAACTATACGGATGGTAAAAATGAAGGCGAAAGGCGAGTGTGAAACATAATTTTATTTTGGATTTCAAGCGTTATAAAAAGGCGCTTTGAAAAATCGGTGGAGTTGTAGCCAGAGACTGAAGCTTTCGAATGATTACTAACACTTATGAAAAGTTTCTGTCCAGTGAGTAAAATCGGTTTATAAATTTGCCCCCAGAAGAAAATATAAGTACCAAAACTTTTCTCAAACGTATTTTTTATACGAGCTGGCTTAAGATCCTGTTATTTTTCCCAGATTTTTAGAGAAATCCTCCATTACCACTGAAAACAGCTCTTTGACAAAAAAAGAAGAAATTTTCTAACACTGATGAATCTAGAAAATAAGCGTCGTTAGCAGAGGTGTGATTCATTCTAAAAGCCGCAAGCTCGACTGCCGGTCACCACAAAGTCAGGTAAGACCATCATCCGACTTGAGGTGATTATTTTTACTCGACGTCGATTTCTTTAGAGGATTATTTAGCCTCAAGGAATCGACGGAACCGAGGGAGGGTGCTACTGATGAGTCCCAATAGGACGAAATAGGCGCCTATATAGCACTAGACCTATGGCTCAAAATATGTCATATCCTTATCAGATTAAATCATTTTGAGCGGGTCTGTAAAAGAGCGGTCGTTAGCAGAGGTATGATTCATTCTAAAAGCCGCAAGCTCGACTGCCGGTCACCACAACGTCAGGTAATACCATTATCCGACTTGAGGTGATTATTTTTTACTCGGCGTCGATTCCTTTAGAGGATTATATCACCTCAAGGGATCGACGGAACCGAGGGAGGGTGCTACTGATGAGTCCCAATAGGACGAAACAGGCGCCTATATAGCACTAGACCTACCGGCTCAAAATAAGCCATATCCTTGTAAGATTATTTCGTTTTGAGCGGGTCTGATAAAGAACCTCTTGAAAGGCTTAAAATATCCTGTCAGACTACATCGAACTTTTAAGCGAGGTCTCAAGATAGTCTAAGGGAAGGTAATGTGATAGCAAAAGTTGTTGAGATTTCTGTGACAGGGATGCTTACTGTTTACAAATGTAAAGTACCAAACTGAACGGAGGCTTCCTTCCTTCTTATTGTGAAGATCAACAGATTACCGTTTCTTCTCCATGCAAATAACATCACGAAACTCTACCAATATTCTGTACCATTTCAACGTTCCTCCAATTTTCGAACTAAACACAAAATATGGAAAGGAATCTCCTTACTTAGAAGAACATTGGAGTGTGCCATGAACATGAAACTCGAGAAGAACATATGGATAACCTTCAACGACAATCTCACCGTGCACCAGTGATCTTGAGATTGTTGTTCTGAAATCAGCAAGACCATAGAACAAAAATATAAACAACTAAGCACTACTTGAGGCACTAATGATAAGTTTCATTGGAATGCACTCTGCATAACATTTAATTTTTACACAAAAACGACTAAAAACCTTTGAAAATTTTGGGTTTTTACAAAAAAAAAGTGTAGTAGATATCCACCGCTTGCACAGTCGCCATGGATCAGATTGAAAGTCACACGTTCCGTGACCATTTGCAAGTAATATTCTTTCTAACACACAAGCTTCCTAGTGGTTGAAAGTGCTCTACGACGCGCACGTGGTCGATGATTTGATCTCACGCTCATAGTTCACCAAGTCGTCAATACATCCGGGGTTGACGAATTTGCACCAGGATTTTTCTGGGAGGATAGAAGCACTGACTTAATACATCGGAGGGCCACTGCGAGTCAATGTGAAAACTAGATATGCATTCAATCACAATCCCCTCAAACGATACTCGATGACGTTGAATGCATGGCGCATCTCTCGAGGACTGATCAACGCAGAGAGCTTTTAGAGCTTTATAAGTCTTGCTAAATCAACGTTCATAACGCAAGAGATTCTGGGTTCACTTCATCGAAAGGATAGAAGCTCTCGGTATTTATCAATCCAAGACAAATGTGCCACGTTTCCAACTTCATCAAGACTGGTTAGAGGCGAATGAATGCACATCTGGTCTCTAAAATGACCCTCGGTGACCTACGAATGAATCAAGTCATTTAAGAACTCTTCTATCCTCCCCAACACAACTCGTATCAAGTTACCGATCTCGGAGGGATGGT